GGTCGCGTTCTTGGCCGTTAAATAGCGTCAAGTAGCCGAGGGTAACCTCGCGAACACTCCCGCGGAAGATTTCGTTTCGGTGTTTATTTCCCATTTCTTCCCCCAGTGGCTACAATTAAAAGAATCCCACGCGATTAGATAGCGTCGAATAAGCGTTTCCGATACACATGAAATAGGAACGATTCGCGTTCGTTTATCGTTCCGCCCGAGTCATACGAAGGGGGTCGAAAAACCGGCCTATCGCGCGAATTTTACCGGCACGCCGGAGGCGAACCTCGGACAAGTGCGGAGATTCGTTTTCGATTGCGAGAGCCGAATTATTTTGACGAAATCAGCATCGCGATCTCGCACGGGTGTGAACGCCGGGAATCGCGATACATCGGCGTGTCGACATCGGCGTTCGAGAAGCACGCCGGGTGACACGCGAGGGAATATTTCTCGCAAGAATTTCCGCATATCGGCGACTGGCGTTCGTCCAATCGGCGACGATCTCTCGTGACTCGTACTCGTGTGCGCGCGCGCGCGGAAGAACTTCTCTCGCTTTTGTGGAATATGCAGCGGCTGTTTCCCGTGCGTTGTTTCGGACTCGTGCGATTTGAGAAAGAGAAGGTATAGTATGTACATTATACTAGAAATGAGAGAGAGAGAGAAAGAGAGAAAGCAAAGTGGCGACGAGAAGGGTAATAGGTAGGGGATTTTCGCGCGGTGTTTCCTTACCTGTGACTCGTGGCCGTGTCCAGCATGGTAATTCAATCCCGCGTGGATGAATGGGGTGGGCGGCGGGGAGAGGGTTATCTCGACATCTCCGATTCTCCAGGAGTTTCTTGATAGTCGAATTCTCGTGAAGAAACAGAGGAACTTCCGGACAACCGGCACTGTCTCTCCCCCTTCAAGGGGATACCACGAAGCCGCGGGGAACCGACCGAACTTCCGCGCGACGGCGACGGCGACGGCGACGGCGACGGCGACGGCGACGACGGGACGGCGCGGCGGAGCGACGACCGAAGAAAATGAAATCACTGCACCACTGCAGCCGTCACAATTCGAGGGGCGCGCGTGTGCGCTCGCGCGCAAAATAGACAATGCGGAAGGACGCTCGAGCTGGCGTGATCCGCGGGAACAGGTAATAGAAGGCGAGGGGAGGAGAGAACGAGAAGGTCGGGGGAAGGGAGAGCGCGAATGCGGTTTCTCGCGCCTTTCCGTTTTCCGCGGACCTCGCGGAGCGGAGTCGCGGAGACGCGCTTGCGGTCGCGTGCCGCTCCGCGGCGCTTCGGTGGCTTCGGGAAAATGCGCGAAGCGGCAGGCGAACCGATAGCCGATTGCGGCGGACTTGACGGACAACAACAGGAATGTTGCCGATTACGTTGCAATCGTTGGCCGACACCGTTTCGCGTTCCTCTCGTTTAACTCGAATTCTTCGTGTGGCGCGAGCGCGCGCGCGCGTGCGCTCTCTTCTCTCTCTCTCTCTCTCTCTCTCCCTCTCTCGTCACGACTCGACTCGACTCGACTCGATCGCTCGCACTCGATCTTACGGATTACTCCCGCGCGACACAACCGTACATAAGCAAGGGTCGCAACATACTGAGCAAACACATGATTCCGGCGGGGCCTATCCGGCCTAGTGCAGGTGCTCGCTGTGCAGGGGGCGCCACCATAACGGTGCCGCGAATCGGTGCTGCGATCGTCGTTGCGCGCGACGTATGTAATGCACATGCAATCGGAAAACGATCCGTCGCGATCGCGATCGATTGCGGTCCTCGTTTTTTTTTATTTTTATTTTTTTTACGCACGTTGACGAATTCATCACGTTGATCTTGAATGTTCGCTTTTTTGACGCGCGTTGACGAATTCGTCATGTTGATTTCGAATGCTCGCGCTATTTTCGACGCGCGTTGACGAATTCGTCACGTTGATCGTGAATGTTTCAATGACACGCGTTGCGATTGCGATGTTAATTCTTAATTCTGACAAAAATAGGAAAACTACTACTTATAACGTAACGATACGTGTGCAAAAATTCGTTCTACTATGAACTATTTCGAGCGCGCGCGTGAGAAACAGGAAAAACTATAATTGCTTATTTATAAATCAGCTGAGACTTAAATAAGTAGTGTTATGTAATCGCAGATGTCAACGCGGTGACAGAAATAAATTTTAAATCTCGCTCTTTTTTTGTTTGGGTTTATTTATAATTTTGCAACTACAAGACATGCACGAGCAAAATAGCTTCAGCAAAAATCTTACAAATCACTTTTATACTATTTGCAATTATCAATAATTATTAATAGCATATTCATAACATTATAATAACGTTAGAAACGGTTAGAGCGCAAAATGACTTTTGTGAGCATTCTAGGTCAGTCGAAGATCTTACATTGGCCCTGGAACGACGGCATGAGATGATCACTAATTAACGTTAATGTGATTTTATGCGTAATTCCGGAAAATTTCACAGCCGGTAACGAAGAAGAAATTAAGTACGGCATAGCCATTAATCATTATTCTTGGGAATACAGTCATCTTTGCGCATCACGCAAAAAATATGCATCGAGCACAGTTAAAATTGATCCACAGAGTGCCATGTTTATCGCAAATAAGTTTTCGTAGCTTGGGCGGCATGAAACGAAGATATACTTTTGATTGAGTCGTCGCGCGGCAACAGTTTTTGATCTCTCTCACTGCAGTCCAGTTAGATTTATCTTTGTAAAGGTAGATGTAGAGATTACTTTTGCGCGGATCAATCAAGCTTGCTCGATCTCACTCGGCACGTCCGAGAAGTAAATTCGGTCAAGCAAAATAATCGAGTATGACGACCATTTTCTCGGGATTTGATATGAATACTTCAGCCGCGATAATAAATGTAAATTTAAGGCCTCCGTTTCTGTATTTTTTTTTTAATATAAAATAACGCGTCCCCGATTATTTGCCGTGCGCGTCTTAATTCAGACAAATTCGATGATTAGCATGACCGATTTACATTTATCTGCATTATAGTTGGAGATTTGCATACAAATTATAACGTGGGCTATAACTTAGGCCTCTCGTTTCTCTTAATTTACAAAGACGATATATAAATAATTTGTTTTCAGATTTTTTAAGTTTGTTACCATTTAATGTAAACGAGGAAAAACCACGTTCGTGCTTACAGTTTAAGAGTAGTGTCGTTATTTACATTTGCGTATATTTCAGCTGCATTAATTCTTCTTAATAATCGTTTATGCGCAATTATTTAACATATTTCACATCAAGCGCCGATTTCTTTATCGCTTTGCGTCATATCGTTAAGATAATTATTTGGCGCAACTTGTAATTACAAGATCGGCGCAGAATTATATATCCGTCCAGTAAAGGATACACTGTAGCGTCTCTGTTAATAACAAAAAAATATACTTGGCGGGAGACGCTACCGCGTCTCCTGATGAACATTATAATTTATTAATCGCGCTGAGTTGATGAGAGTTGAAAATACTGTATCAAGTATTGGAATTTGCGTTTTCTTTTCACCAAGAACGAAAAATTGTAGATGGAAATAAATCCTGCACGACCAATGTAATAAAAACTCGCAACCGTGTTTTGTGCTAGACAATGGATTTTATTATATCTTCTTTGAGGAAAAAATATGTTTTAGCTAGAGACTTACATATGCAAAGAAATGTGAGTCAACTTAGACAGATAAATATTTCTCTTTATATAGCACCGGAAGCTTTTAAAATCATAAAGGATCACAATAAACACAAATTTCAAAATTTAGAATATTTACATATCGGGATATATACATATGAATATACTATATTAGGATTATTTATTAAAGTTATAGTTAAGATAATTGTTTGAGAAGGCAATTTTCAGAAGGTTTATAAAAAAAGATTGAAATTTTTCGGACCCTATATATGATAAGAGTTAATGCGGGCATTCGCGGGAGAAGAATTTATCTTTCCTATATGCATATCTGTAAATGTAGAATATCACTCGCAATAACGAAACAAATTTATATCTCAGGCGCGGTTTCTTTTGACACGCGCGACATACGAAACATTTCATTACACGCTCTTGCACGCTCTGTCATATCGGGGATATTTTTAGAAAGCCAAAACCACGCGCTTATCTCTTCTTGCGGCGGTAGTTATCGTAGTTATTCCCGCGCTTTTCGGTATTTCTTTTTTCAATAAGATTCAGGAATTCTGACTTCTGGCCTCTTCTCATCCACACGTCCGGACGATACACGTAAACACAGTCCATGTTCGAAAAATTATCTCATTACTCGCGACACTCACGTACCTCCTGGTACCGATTGAATCGATAAAGAAAACCATCGCGGCGGCAACCATTTACGCGTCGCCATTTCTTTTATCTCGCGATTAACAGAAAAAAATCGAATCTGACATTCGGGTTTTAAATTCTACACAGTTCTTATATAACTCTAATCTTGTTTTTAATTACTTTTTAATTTTTCCGATTAAAGAAAAATATTAACAAAAAAAAGTTTCGTTTCGTTAAAAGCGAAATTTTTTTTGGTTTTGTTTCGAAATCTATGGAGCATTTTTATTTAATCAACGAACCTATTTCTTTGACAAAGGAGGAAAAGAAGAGACGACGTGTGAAAGAGTAAGAAATGCAATTGTGCCGCAATAATAATCAATGGTTTTTCTCAGAGGAGCTGAATTTCACGATATCTTCATCACGCGTTACAGCCTGCCGACATATTTCTACGCGAGCGAGAATAATCTGCGAATGTCGCTTGACATATTCGGCACGTATACACTGTCGAGGCGTGGACTCGTTTACACTCTAATTGTTTGCAAATCCGTAGCCTGTTGAATGTAATCTTATTTACGAGTACAAGTTAAGCAGCCTAACGCTATTTGCTCAGTTCCGCCGAGAGCGCGAGACACTTTGCTTCCCGGGCACGTACCGTAAGAGCGATTGACGGTCATGAGTACGGCTTTACGGCTTTAATGACACGACGTCGTTATGTGTAGAAGAAGGTTGTCGATGTTCCACGTATCACGTGACTGTTCGACGAAATTAGGAGAGATCCGGATACCAAGCTGGAACGATTAGAAGGTAGAATAATTATTTATAATTGTCGGAAAGAGAGCTGCGTCTCGAGATCACTTTTACGAGCAAACGTTTAAACATTTAGAATTTATATTTCGTTTAGCATCTTAACGCACACTCACACATCCTTCGCGGGCGAATAATGTTGCGTTAATCACAGAGTCGCGGACCGACTAAATAAAGTTTATGCAAATTCGTCTTTAGCCGCAATGCCCTGCGCTGCAAGACGCATATACATCGCGATTGCACGTGCTCGTAAAACAGCGCGGGTAAATAATGAGGTGTGATAATGAGAAGCGTCACGTTTCGAAGAAAGAAAAGTAGTCTTTCTCGGCACGATAATTTCGCGTGGTCGACGCATCATCGCGATTGAATTTATCTCGTGAATTCGAGGAACGGATTAAAGGGAATGGAAATCGGCTCCGTTTTTCTTCTCGATTATCATCGGACTTGAGGAGGATCTCGAGATACAAAAAAAATATGATAGCACCGACGAAAGTGGCGGAATAAACGTCAGTCGGTTATATGCTGGATGCCTGTACGGCATTAACACGAAAATCAATCTTCTGGAAACCTTGTTGACTTCCACGCGGCCAGGAAACGACCGCCGCGTTCTTTCACGTTGCGTGACGCGTACTCTGAAAAAGGCGGGATCTCTCCCCATCTTCACCGATTAATTTTGCTCGCGCTCTCTCATTTGTACCTCTCCGCGATTCATTATCTCCGTATAAATTTTCCGACGTTTGTCTCCTCTCGTTTCCGTCGCTATCTCTCACTGATTGTGAGTATTTCGAGGAAATACTTTGCAACCGAGCGACACAGTTATTCGCGGCGAATGACCATTTCATGAGCGACGCCCACGATTTGTCGCGGTGGTACGCGACGGCATTGATCTTACGCGTACGTAATGCGAGGAAGATTTTGCGACTATTGAGAAAAAAATAATATCGATTTGCTGCAGTACCACACGTGTACACACACGCCACAGTTAGCAACAGTGACGTAGATCGCAAAGCGCAGAAACGCCGATCGGGTGCTAACAGCTGTTATCTTATCTTTTTTTTCTGTGAGTGTCAACATTCGGCATTTGTCATGTATGGTACATTGGTACTCTCTACATCGGATATTGCTGCGATACGATTCCTCGCGAACGACGTTCTGTTGAAAGTTTGGATTTCGTGACATCTCGTACACACGAAGATTGGATCAGTATGATAAAAAACGCGACTTTAGATATTGCGAATATATATTAAGTTAGAGAGATTTCCAATGTAGGTATGAGTCGCGATCCTGATGGGCCGCGAACCAATTTTTAATGAGTCATGAAAATTTTTAGACTGTTAAAAATACATTTCGTTACTTACAATTAGTTCACATAATAAGTAGGTACATACAAATTTGCGATCGTACGTCCTTTCACAACTTCGTATGAAGTTGGATTTTAATCAAAACTAAATTTCAAAATAATCTACATTTTATCAAACTTCTTGTGTCTGAAAAAAAATGATTCGCATCGATGCTGATGTAAAGCTGTCAGTAACAGAAATAACAAACAAGGATAATCTTCACACATACCTAATTATATATTTGAAAAATAAATTTATAAAATTGTGTTTAATAAAAAATTAAAGATAAAATGAATTACAAAGAATTCTCGAATTAAAAAATTAAAGAGTATAGGAAGGGGAAAATGAATATAAATAAAAATATAAATAAAGTAGTAAAAATAAATAATTCCTTCCTCGATTTTTTTATATTTATAATACAAAGCTAGATAGATCGCAGATGTTTGCCATTTTAAAAAATAAGTCACGATCTTTACAAGTTTGAAAAATTCCTTGCATTAACGTAGTTACGAATGATATAGAATATATACATCTTCGATAATTTGTACTTGTAGTTTTAATAGTAATGGATCTGGCTAATTGGAACAATTTATCGTGGTAACGACCATGACCATTTCAAAGGGATAATCGAATCACGATACGCAATCCTAAAGCCAATTTTGCAAGTCTTATTGAACTCGTCACGTTCACCAAGGCGAGGAGATTCGAACGTGACTTGCTCGAAAACGCCGAGTTCGCTCACCGGCCAAAGCAAACCGTGCCGATGGAAATCAGGCTAAATGACAACGATGTCGGCCGTCGCAATCGAACGTGTCGAATCGCGGCGACGAGTTTATTTTAAGCTCTCCCGGCCTAAGCGCGCATATGTAAAATAACCGCATGTGGACAATAACTCGTTTTCATTGCAGGTGTGAGCAAGTGAGTAAGCACGCGTCACGAGGAAATAGAAATCGCGGGCCTCGTCGCGTCGCGTCGTCGTTTCGGTATAAGGAAGAAAATTTTCAAATTTTATCACAGACACGACGACCGATCGTTCTTTCCCAGGCTCCATTCTGGCCATTCAGGTAAGCCGTGAAAAATTGTCAGTTGGCGATGCTCCTCTTGATTCGCTAACGAGTGAATCTCGTTCTCCGGCGGGAGTGAGCGCGCGACGCATCGCGCAAGCCGCGGTAAACCTGCATGACATTTCATCGAGTTTTTTTTTCATCGTCGTATTGTTTTCACAACGGATGAAGATAATTCCGTGTCTATAAATAGACGCGGTTGGTAGAAGGAGAGCCTAATAAAAGCACGCGCTCTCTAGAGGCCGTATGCGCTCGAGCGTGAAGTCGAAATAACGTTCAGCCGGCGACAATTAATATTAATACATCGAGGCTCGGTCTATTAGTCATCTTGAATGTTCTAAAAATATCAATTTTGAATTGGACTTACACTCTTCTCTCTCCGTAGTATACACACGGTAAAGCGTGTAAAAAATTTGCGTAATTTTATGATACTCGATGGGTATTTCCCAATAAGAGACACAATTGATACAGTATAACACATTGAATCATTTTATTCCCGTTGTTTTCCAATATTAAACAAGGATAAAATTATTCATAATAAGAGACAAGGGCATTCTTTATGTATACCTAATTATATGTATTTGACAAATAAATTTATAAAATTGTTAAAAAAAAAATAATTAAAAAGTAGGAGTAAAGTGTCTGAGTAAATAAGGTTGTGAATGATTCACTGTGTTACATCATGTCTCTTGCAAGAAAACACTCAATATTTGCAAAATTTCGAGATGGAGTTAAATTTAAATAATATCAGAATGCTAACATCTAAAACGGATCTTCAATACGATGGAATTAAAGATAAACAATTGTATATAAAAATTGTGTTTCTCGAAGATTTATGCTTACCAAAAAAGATCGATATTCTAAGATTTGCAAAATCCATTCCAAGTTTTGCTGATTACCGCGTGATTGGTAATCTATAATTTTATTCATAGCACTCGTACTCTGCTGCGCTAAAAAGTTGTTCCACGACATTTCGAATTTTATTTAGATTTTATTACGGCAAATTATGTCGCGGCATGCATATTTCTTTTTTAACGTGAACGCGTCGCCGATTCGAATTGTCGTTCATGAACGCTTGCAAAGAATTTTGCAACAATACAATAACGTTCAGCAGTGTCGTTCTCAGGGAGGCAAATATACCATTTGAAAATTACGGCGCCGCTTGCAACCTGTACAAACAAACGGCCATTACGTACCGTTATACGATAATCGTGCTTGACGTCAAATATTAAATGATTTCGCTGCGTGAATCCGGGCTGTTTAAATTGTTCGGCTTGATTGAATGATGGCCACCGCTCTAAGTTGGCCGACAACCACTTCAACGTAAATAAGACGGTACCCCATTCTGTATACATATAAGAGTCGCTTCGTTATACAGGGTGTCCGCTTGCTCGTGGCATGTCTTGTGTTTTTCTTGTCGTTTGTATTATACGTATACGTGCGTGTGTGTTGCACTGAATCTCGTACACGCTCCCACGCGACCAGGCAATTATATCGCTATTTTAAACACTGTCCGTTATTACCATTTATATTTTATTATGTTTTATAATCGTTTTATCCATATCAATTTCGATCCTTCTCGAATCACGATTATACAAGCGTGTTTGTATTATCGATATATTTTATTATTCCCCGTCAGTCAAATTATTTGTTAGACAATATGTTGCGTACTGAAAACGCGTCTTTAACGCGCTTTTAACGCGGTTCTTTATCCCAGAGATCGGTCTCGATCGTTTCAGTCAAGTTCGAGTATACCGCGGCCGTCTGCGAACGCGCTCGTGGTAATTCGTGTAATAAATTTCGGAGTCAGTTTTGTATTTGCACGGCTCGTTCGCGCGCGCCGCATAGGTAAAGGCGGGACATACCGTCGCCGGTTTTGTCGTCACGCGGCGTTCCCGCGACGTAACGAACCGTGCAAACTGAAGTCAATATTTTCGGTTCGGCATTCCGTGATTGAATTCTCAAATTTGTACAGCGCATTACCATGAAGCGGGTCAGTACCATCGAGTCGTACATAAAGACTCTTATCCTCGTGCAACTTGGCTAATAGTATGGAATTAATCGGGACGAAAAGGCGATTTAATTTATGCCACGTTCGCGACGCATATATAAGCAAGCAGTTTTTACAATCCATATCTTCGACGTGAATTCAGAGGACGTTTTAAAATAAAATGCATCTTTTTGTAGGCTACAAAAAGACACGGCATGACAATACACGTTTATTATTAACTGATCATTCTTTCGTTATATTCGTTCTCTTTCACGAGACAAGTAGAAATCGCTGTTGAATCGTTAAACGGCCAGACATCAATGTGCGGTGTAAAAAAAGCAAGATAGCTCACGGCCCCTGAAAGACGATACCTCGATACACGTTCTTGTAAACGACGCGGTAGGGAGGTTCATTGGAAACGACGTGGTCGTCGCAGTATTTATCGATAGCGCAGAAAAATTTTACCGAGGCAAATAATCTGAAATCACACGCACGATTCGTCTTGTTCTTTTTCTTTTTCCCCTTTCTCTCTCTCTCTCTCTCTTTCTCTCTCTTTGTTCTTTTTTTAGCGCCGCTGCTGTCGTCCTTCACGCGACTACTGTTTCAATCGACGCGTTCGTCCGTCGCATCAACTTTTGCTCGCTTTTTTAAAAACGTCGGCTGGCAGCCAGTCGTGCAGGCGAACGATAAAAGGGTAATAGAAGCGTAGAAGTATGCATGACATATGCATAATAATATCGCGTCAGTCGGGTTTAATTAATTTCCTCAATAATAATAACGTAATGGATCTCTCTGCGTTATCACCGCCACTCTATCACGCGTCGTTCGCGTGTGCCGGGTTACGTCTGAAGCCATTGCACTTACGTATGACGTCTGCACAAACTAAGAGCCTCGTATTGTTAATGTGTACACAGTCACACACATAGAGACGGCGGATTTCGAAGGAGGATAAAGAGGTACATATTTTTCCCGTTTTTTTTTATATTGATCGTACAAAGTTTATAAAAATAATTATTTAAAAATGAAGAGGGACGGAGAGAAAAAGAGAGAACGGAATAAAAAATAGAGTATATAAAAATAAGTTATTATTTTACTTTAGAGTTATGCGCAAATAATTAATACGGATTAATGCGATATGCTGAAAATGAGTTTGCAAAAATGAAATATTGTAGTACTTTTTATTTTTATTTTTTACGAATATTTTAATTTAATATTTTCTTGTCATTTTTATTTTCTAAATGTTTTAATGAGATGTACGAAGAAGTGCACAATAATTATATTATATATATATATATATATATATATATATATATATATATATATTGTTTTCAGGTAATCTACCTGTATACGATATTATTTAATAAATTGTACATGTGCTACATTTAAATAGTAGAACAAATCTTTCTTTGAAAGTAAATATAACATTTATTAAATAATGCATATACGGATGGATTATCTGAAAATATTTAGAAATAATACTTTTACCTTTTTTGAGTTACTAACGATTAATTGGATCTTCTTGTATAATGTTAGAAGAATTAATCATTCTTATACAATGTTTGACAGTTATATAAAAGTACTCAGAGACAAATATGATATTTAAAGTAGCATTGACTAGACATTTGTTTAAGAAGCACGAGCCTTTATGATTGTCTATGCTAATATAAGGAATATATTGTCGTTATATGTTGGAAGAGAAAGGAATATGAACATGCGTATATCATTGTCTCTACTTTAGCTATAAATAATATATTAATATTTACGTGCGATAATTTGTACGTGCAGTGCGCTTTGGTACATCGTGTACTGTAAGCGAGAAATCTCGTTAAAAATGTACTAACTATACAAAGTTAGTGATTGGCATTAATTGGAAAATCCGACGTATACCGTTTGCGGAATTATCGATTGTCAAATTAGCCCTACAGATATTCCTAAATATATAATATGTAATACGAATTATAAATATTTTGCTACGCACGTTTGTGATGTCGTTCGAGTCGATTTTAAATCTTTGAATCCAAGCGACCACCCGGATAATAGATTAATGGTGTCATCGCATCCCACCCATCGATCTCTTCGTTCGACTGCGCCGCTCTTTTCTGAGCGTTCAGCTGTGCCGTGCTATGCTTGGGGCTGCTAGGGGCCGATCTGCAGGTAATCTGGAGTATCCCAGGTGTACCGAAGCGAAAATTCTTGGTCCCGGGTCGCAGAAGATACGACTCGTTGCCGAAGATCAGATTGGTGCGAAGCAGTGGCACGTTCTTGATGTCCGACGACAATTCGTGTTTTATCAGTTCCGGCTGAGTCTCCTGATCGCAGAGCTTCTCGACGCAGGGACACGAATTGCTGGAGGATCGCCAATTCTCCATGCAGGACGAGCGTAACACGCACGAAACCTTCGTCTTACATGGACTATTGTCGACTATCGATTCCAGTTGGCTCACCCTGGAGCCCTTTTGGTCCAGCTGATCCGAGCTGGCGAATCGCAAGCGTTTCGGGGACTCGCTGGAACATCTCATGAAAGTCGATCTGACGAGGGACTTGTTTTTCAAAGAACTTCGAGGAACCAGAGAATCCGTCACGCTTGTCTTCTTGCTATCGCCGCTTTGTTTGCTCGCTCTTTCCTTGCTACGCTTGCTGCGTAATATTGGATCCTCTCCGATTAACCAGTACGTTAAACGCTCGCCTTTGCCCTTCATTGAAACTACCCCACGTTCGACGAGGCTGAATCCTCCCAGCTGGTCCAGTAGCTGCTTCGTCTCAGTGCTGCAATGAATTTTCAGCGCTATGAAAATAAAAGAAAATCAGATTTTATTAAGAATTGTGGCAATATATGCTTAATTCTATTAAATAATCGCTATATCATTTCGATGAGATATACATATAAAGATTGAAACGATTGAAAGATTTATTATTTTAATTGTTCGTGATCCATTTGCATAGTTACATTTATTTAACGCTTTGTTTACATAAATATACATTAAAAAATAATTTTAAATAATACGTACGTAACCCTGTCGACGCCATACGACTGGCAGTGTTCACTGTATCACCGAATAAGCAATAGCGAGGCATTTTTAAACCAACCACCCCTGCGCATACTGGTCCGGAGTGTATTCCTACGCGGAGTTGCAGCTTGTCAAGTGGTCTGTGACGAATAGTAAATTGCTTAATAGCATCTAGAAGGCACAACGACATGCTAGCAACTTCACCAGCATGCTGAATACCGTTCCTTATCGGCAAACCGCTCACCTAGCAAACAAAATTCAGTTGAAGTAGGTAAGAATATAAAATGACGGAGTTATTATCGATAATTTTTTTTATGGCAATTCGCAAATTCTTGTAATTGTTACCTGTTCACTATCAATTCCGAGAACAATTTTAATTCCGTAATATACTCACCACCATGTAAGCGTCCCCGATAGTCTCGACTTTATAAACGTCATAGTTTTCTATCGTCGAGTCAAAGCATGTATAGAGGTCATTAAGAAAATCAACCACCTGGAACAAAGCCGGAATATGTAGCTTTATTATATATGCGAATGCATAGTTATTTTTAGCAAGAAAAATGAATCGAATTTACAGTGATTAATAACATGTTTATTATTATATAAAAATTCTCACTTGTAACGGCGTACTTTCCGCAGACATAGACGTGAAACCAACTATATCACTGAAATAAATGGTAACACAGTCGAAACTTTCAGCCTCTACTTTGTGTCCCTTTTTTAACTGATCAGCTACATAGCGCGGTAACATTTCGTGTAGTAATGCATCTGTTTTCTTTTTTTCTTCAGTTAGTTGGTCCGTTCGCTCGTCAACGAGTGCTTCAAGATTATTTGCATATTTTTCCATCATTGCCATCATGTTGTCGAAGATATTTGCTTTCCTAATAAAAACATAAATCATATATTTGTTATTAAGTGAAAGATTAAGCTAAAAAGAGAAGTTAGGATTTTCAAAAATAATGCTTTTTGTGATATAGATTAATTCTATATGTCGATTAATTAATTTTAAGTAACGAAATATTATTTCGAGTATAATATTACGAAGAAAACTCACATGCCCTTTCGTAGCGGTCTTAATTTGTTCCTTATCATTTTGAAGTCTGGTCGAAAATCAGGATTTTCCGTCCAGCTTTGGAGCAAACAGTCACGAACGAAATCGAACGTATTCTCCAGTTGATTCAACGGTGGTCTATCATTATTACGTGAGAAAGAAAGAAAATTGTTTTGAATTCTTTAATTAAAATTATATTTCTCACAGTTGAGACTAGTTTATACCTAAACGGTGATATTTCAGAATCTCTCGCGATTACTTTCTTCAATATCTCGGCCGCTGATAATTCCGTGACACCGAATGGCCCGTGACGTCCTTGAAGTTCATACAATATTATAGCAAAGGAATAAACGTCTCCTTTCTGAAAATCACGAGCAGTTGGTTCTCCCAGACGAGTAGAGCGTAATAATTCAGGTGCTTTGTATAACAATCCTAAAAAATTTTAATTAAAAAATTAATTAAATTTATATAGACTTACATCTTTGCAATTATATGACGGACATTGATAAATTTATTTCAATTTATACGTTATAAGTCTCAATTCACAAACTAAAAGATTAAAAAATATTTAGCAAGTGTTGAAACTATTATAGAATAAAGAAAAATAATTATAGAATCGGGTGCAAAAAATCATTTTTTACCGTGATATTTTTTTATGACATCAGAGGGATCGCATTCCGCATCCCGCTTGAATTCATGGAGGCCAAAATCTGCGAGTTTTACGACCCATCGCGAATCCACAAGGCAGTTTGATGGTCTGAGCGATCCATGATATTTTATGACTGACTCATGAAGATATATCATACCCTAAAAAGCACAAAGATTAAGCTTCTCGCTAGTGAAATCTTGGAAATGTAAAATACAGCCTGTGCTGTTAACAAGTATCAATAGTATTATCATTGCCAACTGTTCGCGTGTCGAAAAAATTCTTCGACCACCATTAGGATCGCGCACATTAATTACTGTTATTAATTCAATCTAGAACTTTTCATTTTCTTTCAAACACAAATAATCTTTTCTAAAAATAGTTTTGCGCAATTTTGCGCGGAGTTTTGCCTCTTTCAAAAACAATAACAGGACAAGTAGAGTCGATCTCGTAATTTATAACAAATATTTAGGACTACCTTCAGAAATGTTAAGCAGTTACAATTGATCGAATGAGACCGCGAAATTTTTTATCATCGTACAGTAGCCGATGCATCTCTCTTTCTCTATACGCGATTTTGATGTTACCAGATGTGATCATACATTAACATCGTCGTCAACAGATGCACACGATACGAATATATGTAATACTCTTTGCAATCTTGAAACGGACTCACAACTTAACGATGACTTTGAACATGTTTACAAAAATTTCTAATCATCGAATGTTGTATGGCCGGATGCAAATCCCTTTTCCGTCCCTTTTCCGCACCAAACTGAACTTCTCAACAAATGTCCTACATGTTATCTAACGACAACTATCAATGGCAAGATTTCTATCATCGGATTTATCTTCACTGGATGTGGTACAAAATCCTTCGTCTCCTACTCCGCCCCGACCGTCGATTTCTCAATATGACGTGGCTCGAATACTATATCCCTCCCTTTCCAATCCCCGCGTCCGAAATCTCTTCGCTTATGGCGTGTTCTCTGCAGGTGAATCACTTCATTCTTTTTGTCCCCTAGTTGTCCCATGAGTCAGACGTAGTATTATTTAGCTATTTACATTTTTATATCTGTTTATAAGATTTCTTTTTAAAAAAGAGATAGAAAATTAAAACCGTTAAAAGAGAAAACTTCTGAGTGTCGACAATTATTGCAGTACTATGAAAGTTTCGAGTGCTCTTATTCGGAGTTTAAAAGTTTGCGAATGAAGAAAATGTGGACAATTTTCGAAATTGCTTTTCTTATGTACGGACATTACATTCAGCAGTCTGACGTACGCTGAACGGAGAAAATCTAACATTATTTCTTAAAATAAAAATAGTATTTTTTTTATTTTAAGAAAGCAAACTTTGAAGATAAAAAAATATAAATTTAATGAAACTTACTCTAATGATGTCGCCGACGAGAGACGCCATGAACATATTATCGAGTTTTATATCTTCGTTCTCCAATATGTCCTGAAAAAACATTGCTGAGCACATCGTTGGAAATTTGAAATTACTGAAATTAACATAATGCAATAATATTTGGAGATTTAATCGGTATATACAAAATACTAATTACATTAATTTTAAAAATTACCTTCAGACTACCACGTGCACAATATTCGACGATGACACATATATTAGGCGGATCAGTGCAGGCACCGATAAAGGCGTTTAAGTTATCGTGTCTTAAATCGCGCATCTGAAAATACATAATCGCCTATAAAACATCGCCTTGATAAGGTTTTGCAAGGTTTATACTATAATTGCTTAATAACAGTTATTATACTGTAAATACAAATTAAATTAAAATTATTGACTGCGAACGTTACCACATCACATACATACCATTTTTAATTCTTTTTTCATTTCTCGTGTTATCTCAATCGATTTCTTTCTGATTTTCTTAACAGCAAAAATTCGCCCTTTGTACACTCCAATTTCCGTGTAAATAGTTGAATATCGGAAATCTGCGTCAGGATTAGAGCTTAGCGACACCTGACTAGTTCGCACTATAGGTTGCGTCGTAGATGACTTTACGAGAAAAAAGATATACATGTATGTTATTGTAATTGTAAGTTAAAACATTGTTTACAAGACAAAGAATTGATTTCACATTAACACAATTCTGTACTAAAATGTTTATATACTAAAAAATTGTTATAGCTTTGTATTTAAAAATTTAAAGTTTACGATTAATAAATTTCGCACAAATACAAGCCAATTTTTTGGTTGTATGTGCAATCCAACAAGAGAAAATCATAAAAACATTTACGTAAAGACGTAAAAATACGAAAGAAATAAAGATTCTCTCGAGAATAGCAGTAGAGCGATACAGGCAAGCTGTTACCTTGGAATTACATTTTGCAGACGTCTCAGTAGCTTTCATTTCATCCTTCTGTTCCTTGATTTGAATGTCCTTATAATTAACTTTCCACAGCAAACTATCCAATTCTTGTTCATACTTCCAATTCCTATAAAGAATCAAAAAAACCGCTGCGATAATGAGCAGCAATGCACCGACGATGCCTCCCATAATTTCGCCAGTATAAGCTGTAAACAAATATCAACTCGTATTATTAAGAGAATTTTTATACAGCTTACACTGTGGTTTAAGTATTGTATTAAATTACTTTTTAAAAATATTATATGAAATGATTAATATATTAGTTAAAAAAAAATATATATATATATATAATAATTTTTATATAGAAAAGAGAAAAAATGTTTTAATAAAAAATATTCATATCACTCTTTTTAGGAAAAGTTTCATAAAGCATATTTATGTACCTACTTAAAGATAATAAAGATAATATGTGAATAATTAAATTGATAATACAATTCGTGTAATGGCAACTGAACAAATTTATATAATGTATATTTTTACTATACTCACAATTACATTTTTCACCATGATATCCGCAATAAGGTTCTGCAACCGGTGGTCCCTGATCTCCGATCCATGATATTTCCTTATTCAATTGAAGCTTCTAAACATTATTATATATGTCAAAAATTGAATAAAAGACTAATTTAAAGTAATTTATAATAGATGTAATTATTAAGAAATTTTCCAGAAAAAATGTCGATAATACACATACATCCTTCGTTTTCAAGTTTTTCATGAATTAAAAATTAGACATTTTCTACAAATTTGCTTTAATAAAGAAATAAATTTTTATTAATGTCAAATGTATGAAGCGGAGCTTGGTTTTAATAATAATTGTATAAATCTTATAATCCGCACCAAGATTCGCTTCAGACTGCATTTGGCTCTACTAAAAATTTATCTAATTTGAACTTTCATTGTCTCGATTACGTTTCATATTAATGTTTGTTAATGAAGAAAAATATATTAAATTTTGATAATCATTTTTATATATTTAATAATATTAAATCTTTGTGAAACGTAATATAAAATTAATACAACAAATATTTCTTCGTTATAGACACGAGATAAAATGTTACAAGAACAATCGTTTGCTTACTGGTAGATTTGTTCCTTGCTCTTTTCCAACGAAATACCCAATCGGATAAAGGCCGTAACCTCTCACAGGTCGATGGTCTAATGCAATCAATGTGTAATTGCCCTCGGCATCTCCATTCTCATCCATGTATATCATGTATCTATACAGAAGTGGTTACGCACGTAATATGCAAATTCCGTTATGTTCGATTCAATCGGTTAGATAGAATAACTGTACATTACAAAACAATTCTGTATCTATTTACAATTTGTAAGTAGCATTAAGAAAAAATTTAGTGTTATGTAACGACTTTATTAATTACGATTTTATTAATTATAAAATACGCTATGATATTATCGATAACTATAACTTGTTTTTAATGTCCATAAATATTATAAATATGATTTTTATTTATAATAAAAAGAATAACTATCATTCCTTTATGCGACAAATTTGATATTGATGTATGTATTGTACATGCACAAGAAATTTGGAATACGCGACATACAATTTCGTATAAACGCCCGTAATAAAGTGCACGATGCAAACGAGGTCTGTCGAATGATTGAAATATCTTTCGGAACGATTACTTTCGTCTCGTCTTCATAAAGCGCGGAACATTCGTTTTTAATCGTCAGACGAATCTTTTTCTTCCGACCCGGACTCGCCTGTCGAAGCAGCGGACGTGTAAATACAATAATTCCGCACAGAATCTTATTGTTAGCGTGGCGATCGCGAATGATAAATCGTTTAGCTTCTGACCTCGTTATATGGCATGCAAACGGTAATTACGTCACTGAAAATACACCGCGCGAGCGTACGTGCGTATGCGTGTAAAGTTCTCTTCTCTTTCTCTATCTTTCTCGGTCGGCTCTTTTCGGCGAGAAATTATCGGGTGACGTTCTCTTCTCCAAGGCATTTGATTTGCATATCGTAAAATGTTACGATCATGGTGTACGACGAACGATCGTGCTCGCGCCTTTATTTCATACTTCCTCACGTACATACCCCATTGCGCTTCGGTAATGAACGCCATGTAGCGCCGACACCATCTCCCGGCCATTTCGAGGGTCCCGATTCTCGTCGAGTGCACGCAGCAACGATTTCTCGTAAAGATGCACAGCATCGTACAGGTACGCTGTTTCTGGCACGATCTGCCTTATAACACGAAGTAACGATTATGCCTCGGGATTGGGGGTGATTGCGGCGGGAAGGTAGTCTGTGCGATTCATATGAAAGATATCGCGGCCTGGATTACATGAATTGACGAGTCGTCTTCCGCAAAAAAAGAATTATAATGATAGGGCGAACGAGTGTGATAATTTCGCTCGCAGATGGTCCGTCGCATGTAGAACAGGTTGTTATTCGTAATTCCGTTTCAAAGCACAATGCGATGGTATGTGAATGATTATGCATAATTGAGTATGCGCTCCGTGATTTAATTGCATTATAATCACGGTTGCTCTCCAGTTTTTAGCATGAGATTCCGGCTTTTTGAATGAATTTCTGGTGGGCAGGAAAATCTTTTTAAGAAAGTAGAGTAGCCTCTTTGGTTTTCAATCGGAGATTCTGATTTTTTTTTAATTTCTGGCAAAAGGGCTAAATCTGATCTTTTTTTTTTTAGAGAAAGAGAACTTATAAGAAAATAACAATTTGAAAATAATTATTGATTGATCAGACAGGAAAATGACAACCGTGATCATAATATATGATTAATATATGACAAAATGTTTAATGTCGTTTAAATTTTTGTGGCACGAACGACTTTTTCACCAACAAGTCGCCCTTGGAAAAAAAAGAAAAAGTTCAAAAAAAAATTTGACAATATATTTGGTTAAAAAGGAAAAACGGAGTAAATGATTTCAAGCAACTTTCCAAAATATTATAAAAGTGAAAGAAATTTTGAAGTTAAAATTATTTTGTTAGAATCTTCAAATTCAGGAAGAATTGTTCCCAAATTTTCATCTTTAGTCACCTGAACTATTCCTCCGATGTTTGCCAACGGATTCGTAAAATTGAATGGCGGCTTCTGTCTGTATTCATTGACGAGGCGAGTGAAATTCATGAAATTTATTGGGGTGGACGCAACGATGCTGAAGTAACTGCGGTACGCATTTACGATTGACAAATCCGTTTCCTTTTGCCACAATCCGCGTAGATACTTATTCGGATGTTTCTCATCGTATTGCTCGATGTCGACACCAACAACCCAGTATTCGCCTAAGTAAATAATCTTATTTGAGGAAGATAAATGATACGCGTGCAAAAGAGAAACAGTTGTACAGTTGTAAAATTATACGAAGAATTATACATGTTGCATATGTAGAGTTATTTTACATAAAATACATACATGTATAATTTTATACATATAGAGTTATTTTACATAAACCTCGTGGCATTTAAATACATTCGCTTAAAAGCTTATATTTGTGTTAATAATTAGTAGCAATAAAAATAAGTTAATACAACATATTTCTCAGTTATTTTATTTATGTTTAATTAGATTATCTCGAAAAGTAAAAGTTATTAGATTTTCGTATTGTAATACGATCGTGTATTACGCGTTTAAAGTTAAAGGTATAGCTAATGACAGTTACTCTTCAATATATGTACCTGATTATTCTACAGCAAATTTATACCTTTTTCCAAGAGATTCATTTCGTCTAGAGCCATCAAGAGTCCCATGTGTTCGTAATAATGCCCAAGAATAACGTAAACTGCAACAAATAACATTTGCATGAGAAAATCGCGCGATAATCGAAACTTTTTCCGGTTGTTAGGCTATCGTGTTTGCGTTATCGTGATTGCTAAATCCGGTCACGTTCAAATGTTTATTTTTAGAACGCACGGTCTCTTAATACGTCTAAACAGATGCGTGACTAATGAGACTAGTGGCATGCCAGTATCTATCCGCAAGTCTGGGACACTTGTTCCTGCAATATGCGGGTTGTTTCCAATGTTGGTTTCATTCCATCGTTCCGCAACATAAATCAAAGTACCGAAATGCGGGTAGTCTATTTTGGATCGCGCGTGTGCTAAGTTGATTGGGAAAAGACACGTTGTCAGCTGAACTGAACTTTCGAATTAGAAACGAAAGTCAAGTATGAAAGGAGATTAACGTTAGAAGCCTGGCCTTCATATTTCGAGAAGAATTGCGTTACAAACTAAAGTTATGATTTTATTTCAATAAATATGATAACAATAATGTAGGTACAAGAATTTAATGCTTGGAAATAAACGTTTTTATTACTCACTTCGTGTGTCTCGATACGTTTCTCTAACATGTTTGTGGAAAGGATTTTTCGTGTTTGTTGAACCATAATATGGTTCGCTCCACGAACGACGATAATTTACAGTAATTCCTGCAGCTTCAAAAGACTTTAGAATCGTCGCTGCGATCGTGGACATTTTGTTGAACTCAAACATTGTTGAATTAATATATATAAAAGTTACCTAAAAATATTTACAAAAATACATATCAGACAAAGCGCTTCTTTTAAAATCTAATTTTACATTAATATTAGAAACATGCACTTATTGAAATGAGAGTGCTTACTTTGGTCCAGTTAAAAGCCAGCAGCACTGAAACTACGCTTTTTGAAATCTGTGTATCGGGTGGTCTTGTTCTTGCAAAGGTCGGAAATTCCTTTTTATTAGACGTTTCATTATACGTGCAAAACTAGAAAATACAATAGTAAGCAAAAGCTTTCATCTAAGATCTAAGCTTTAATTATACGTATATATGCTATCAATGCAAGCGCAGTATGCAATGCAAACACTACGTATTTGTATCGCGAATATATGTAGAATCCATGTTATCGTACGGCCCGTTATTCCAAATTGCGCGATGCGTTAGCAGATTACGTTGAAGCAAACGAGAAACGATCGCGAGGAATATCAGAGATCATTATAGTGTCATGATATGTGCGGTGCCATTTTTCAATTCAAGTGGAACGTTACCGCAATCCGGATAATCCGGCAAATGTATCGCACAGCTGTTTTTCATAAAGATTTTACCATGTCGCATTTATTTCACAAAGTTAAAATTAAAGATAGGTAAAATGCGAGAAATTATTTACGTATGATATCATTGGAATGTTAAATGCAGCCGCCATTCTGCCTTCGTGAATGCAAGTTTCTTGCGGCCCGATGTAAACGCTAACGTTTTTCCTCCATAGATCCGCTGTCATCAAAATGCTGGTTTCTTCTTCTCCAAAAGTTTCAGCAACGATAAAATCAAGCTTATGCCCTCGTTTACCAAGTTCGCCAGCGTTTATCTATGTTTTAAATAAAATTATTTTTAAAAGAATATTTTGAATAGAAAGATCAAAGACTATTAGAAAATGATTAACTTTATCTAATAAAAAAAAATATTCTGCAGTAATATTTTTTGTAATGTAAATTATAAGCAAATTATTTTTCAAAATTTGCTTTTCTAAATTTTAAAAAGTATTTTTCAAATCTAATGTGTTCTAAATGCATGATAATAATATATAATTTTTAAGAACAAGCTGGAAATGTTATTTTGCAGCGACCGCAAAATCGCAAGCCATTCCAATTTCGCGTAATTGATGTTCAATCGGGGATAATCGTATTTCTGCGTGAAACTGCTAAATTTAATTATCCGTTTTCGCAATGCTAATCTCGATCTATTAATGTATTAGGGCAGGGAAAGAAAGAGAGTAGTAAAAGAAAATTACTCGCCTCTTCCACGGCAAGAGTGATAGCACCTGATATCCGGAATCCTGGTCGTTGATATTCAAAGTCCTTAACACGTCGTTTCGAGCCGGTGATGTACCCCAAAGTGAAGGTGTCAGCACCGACTTCGAGCAAAACGTGGATCACCGTCAGAAGCAGACACGTCCTTTCCACATTTGTCAGTAGCATGCCCAGCTGTACGAAGCCTTCGCGTGAAAAGTATTGTCAATATATCGCACAGGTGGTTTCGACTTACAATAAAAACATCGCGCACTCGAAATATTTAATTTGGATAAACTTTTGTATGGGTATGAAGAATAATTTAATATAATAATATAGGTATACAATAACGATATGCAGTTGTGCTTTATCGTCCTTTAAAGATATAATTTTCGACTCTAAAGGTAAAAAGATAAAAGATTTTTCTACCATTTTTTGCAGATTATTTCTAAATTATAAAAGAGAAAAATGTTTATAATCAAAATTTAATGATAAGCTGTGAGCTACAAAAGTAACATAAGCAGAAAATTAAAAATATATTTTTTTAAGAAAAAATTTAACAAATATTTCCTGTGACGATATATGTGCAATAATAGCGTAATATTAATATCTATGTTAAGATGATTTTAAAATTAACTTCACATTCTTGCGTTTGAACTGTAAATTAATGAAATAAAACATGGACTGCTTGCTGTATTATACGTAGGATCAACTGTACAAAGACGGTTGTTTATCCTTTGTCGATTAGGGTCGTGTTTCGATATACACTGCTAGTACTGAAAATCTATAGTTCACATTACATATGTCGGAACACGGTCTAGATTCATCGGTAAAAGCATGAGAGTTTGCAAGTGGGTGCCTGTAATGTGGATAATGGATGAAACTAGTAAGCTCCGCGGGATCGCAATAAATCCCATCAATCTCCCATGGTGTACCTAACTTTCTTTTTGTCGATATTTTCTCTGCGCTTTTGTCCGAGAATGCGGACTTTCTTCCATGGTGACGTCACTTCTGCATACGAGGGATCAATTTTGTAAGAACGAAGTTGTTTGCTTTTTTACAAACACAATTATTTTTCTTTTATGTTTTACAATATTTTAAGTTTTAAGTTGTAGTAAATCAAACTGTTAAAATCTTTCGTTTAATCCCGGAGAAAAATATTGTAGACGATAATAATTTTATAAATTTAATGTGCATTTCTTCATTCTCTAATTCCCGACACGCAATCGCTTTCTTTAAAGCGGCAAGGAAAAGCCGTAATGAACGAAGTACTCTGAAGTTTATTGCCGGTCACGGAGGCTCATAAACGTCCCCGAAAAAATTATGCCCTGCTCGGCGGCGTGGCACGTGAAGATATATCACAGTACGTGCGAGCACCGAGATTCAACTTCGTCAGAAGAGACGTCGAGATGTCGACGCGGCGCTACAATATTTATCGCAAGATCAACTCTCGCCTGCTCTCGGAAGTCCGTACACATCGATCGCGCGACCAAGAGTCTCCAACTTATTATATTAATAGCGGTCTATTTTAATAATACGCTAAAACCGCGGGGTCGTTGAACAAAACGCGATTAGGCGGTCTCCGCGAGGTGTTGCGTAACTGCGTCAAGGCTACGCATTGCCACCAAGAAAGACGGTTGAAGGATTCATAAGAATCGTACTAAAGAATTGCACAAAAGAAGCAAGCGTGTCTCTCGCTGATTGAGTCACGCTGATTGATCGATAACTCTTCGGCGAAGCTTGCCTCGGGAGTCCGCGGCATGGATGAATTCTCTGCGATACGATCGTGGGACAAAATGCGTGGACAAATGTCGAGATGGAAGGTAGGTTCGAGAAAAGAGTGCATGCCGCGATGCGAAGCGTCGTCACGCGTTTGTCCAAAGGCAGCGAACCAATTAACCCCAACAGACTGGCCATTCGTTTCTTAAATTGCCCGTCGCTTTCACTGTTTATGAACGTCCGTATTTAAGAGTTATAAATTTCCTTCTATAGTGAAGAAAGAAATGTTATTGCCCACTTATCTGGGCCCTTATCACGTTCGAGTGAGTTAAGAGAGTGCTCGTATAGAATCGAAAACAGAATCGCACATTATTAATTTAGTATATATAAAACTTTTTACATAAGTTATATAAATCAAATAGTGATAAAAAGTAAGAAGGCTCATTAAGTAGATTTTTATATATTTTTATCTTGAAGATTATTTTATATGTTTTTATTCCTCTCGCTGCAACTATGCAAATCTTTTAATTGCTTCTTGCTCTTTGAATCCTGATTACACTGATTTATATATCTGGATAAATTTTCTTCAACGCCTTTCGCAGAAAAACGTTTCGTGAGGTTTTAAAGCATATACTTTGCGACCTCGATTGCTTGCGTTCCCAAGTGACAAACTGCGGATCTGTCGTCGTTTAATCTTAAGACCTGCCGACTTTTGACAGTCAATTCTGGTCCCCGTCAAAACGTAGCGTGATCAATCCGCATACCCGATTGCAAAGCAATTGGCGAATTAACGAGCCGCTGCTGAATTAATGCGGTTAACGGAGCGCGGGTACCACTTTTTCGAATTCATTTGATGAAGCTACGTAAGAGGATTTACTCATCTTACTTGCAGCAATCACGCAATTTTTAAATCAATGCGGGGGCGGGGGGGATTAATAATTTTACGTTAAATTATCATACTTCAATTTCGTTCGGGTAAAAGTCGTAATATTATTCTTAACGTATCTTAACATAGTTAATTATTTACCTCAATATTTTTCCAAATCTAAAATTAAAATTAAATTATACTCTTTATATCTTTGTATAAATTGTTTCTTTTATTTGTACATTTTTTTATGCTAGGAAAAAAATAACATAATAAAATTATATGAGATATTCATCAATTTTTGGTACACAAATCAAAAAGCATTACCTTGATCAGAGTAAACTTAATGAAATTCATTAAATAAGTAGATTAGTTTCAGCGTTATGAGAGATTTAATAAATCATGTCTTTAATAAATTATGCAGTGTTTGTAAAAAAATAAAATTTTTTATGATTTATTTGATTACATAGACAAATCAATCAAATGCGGTGAGCAATAGTGTTCCAGCAACTCGTTTAAATAAAATCTTTGTTAAATATTAATATTATATCAGTAAATATTATGCTGGTCAATGAATAATCAAATATGCGCATTTGATTGCCACAATATTCAATTCTTTACTGTAATTAATATATTCGCGGGTGTATATATAGCATATATGTATACATAGTGTGAGTCAACCTGTTGACTCACGCTATATTGATTTTACTTCCCGATCGGACACGCGTGCAGGACGTTACTTCATATTAAAATTAAATTGTTCATCGTTTCGATAATGCATTCGACGCGCATTTTGTCGCCTCCGCTTCCACGTGCGGAATTTATAATTAATGAGATATGTATCTCGATGGTCGGAATCTGTTAGCCTCATCGAAACATGTTTTATTATATCGCGATAAATATATAAATTATCTTGCTATTTTGTCGGATCGACGGGACGTCGCGCACGTATAAGATACGTTAAACTTAATTAATGGGTTAAGTGTTTCACTCTGAACTCACTGCGCGGAAGTGAGGCGACTATTTATGAGAGCGACGAAGTGGATCTGCGCCTACCATTTGTCTACCGTATTTATCTACAAAAGTACAATCTATTTTGATTTAGCACTCTCTATGTTGTAAAATAAACTGTACACGCGTCGATGGAAGCCAGCGCGTATTTATACATCGAGTCGCGAGTACGCTTCAGGGTTAAGCCGACAAGATAGTGAAAAGTGCCCGGAGGGTGACTGCGCGGTGAGAGAATTTCAACTCCGATTTACATTTTGTTGCGAAACCGGGGAACGACGACGCAACGATCCGTTAGCGATCGTGCCTGGGCGTCCCCCCGGGCCGACATTTTGACAGCAAGTCCGACAGCGCGCAAAACTCGTGACGCTAATTACGGTTGACTAATCTAGTCCGCAAGCATTTTTTTTTTCATTCCGCGTGATGTGTATTACATCGCCTGGAGGAGAAAGGGGGAGGAGGGGAGAAATTGGATCGCGGACGCGATTGATCGCGTTTCATATGAATCGCTCGTTTCGAACTTGTCATTCGTGATTTACTATTGCAGCTTTTGCCCGCTGGCAGTTGAAAAATTTATAAACTTTTCTCTCATAGCGTGATAGAGTGTATATAACAACGCACAACGGACTATTTGTGTCAAAATTAGTTTTGTCAATGATGACATTTGAGAGATTGATAGAAGCAAGTGTTATTTGCAAGGGTATTTAAAGAGCTTAATTTAGTTTGTGAGCCAGAGGAAATAAATTACTGATGTAAAAGTTCTTTGTAATTGTCTAACAATTAAAATAAGATATGATTTTTATTGCATAAACCTACATTTTTTTATCTTTGGCTACGTTCCATTTAACACTTGCAACGCTTGCGAGCATTATTTGTCCTTGTATAACATTTGCTAAACAACAAGGATGAAATGATTCCAAGAGCGTTGCGAAAGTTAAGTGGAACACAGCCTTTGTATCTTGTAGACGATGCAAAGAAGCCTTTACTATTTAGATATAATTTTGTAAATTTAGATATACAATTTTTTAATTTTTTTCCTGTAAGTCTTGTATGTATATAAAATGAATTATAATTATCATTATATTACTGTTTCAATATAAATAATATTTTACGATTGCACAATTATTATTTTTTGCTATTATCAAAGGATAACTTTTCTCTATGCGCAAGACTTATCATTATATTTAAAATATTCTGTTATTTGGATTAAAAAAGAATTACGTTATCCCTACCGAGTGCAATCGATAAACGGTTTCATCGCGCGTGATTGAATTTATTTATCGACTCAAAAATATAACACCTCTGAGCGAATCTGTGAAATTTTTTGTGAATATTAGGACAAGATCGATCTTTTATGTAATAATAAATATGATTAAGTCTGTATCTGTATTATACTACTTTATTCGTCTTTTTATTTCGCGGTATAAAAAATTATAAAAAGCGCACCAAAATTAAGATCGTTAACAAAATTATATTAAATGGCAAAAAAGTGTATTTATTACATCCCCGAATAATTGTCGGTCTCATTCATCTTGTTGATTCGGCGGCGCAGCATCAAGCAAAGTTAATCTTTGTGGATCCGCAAGTAATCTGCACGCTATGCCCGCAATTTAAGACCGTCCACGGCTAATGAACCACTCATTAGAGTAGAAATGAGCGGTTAAGTGACCAAAAAGGTGCGCGAGACAAACAGCAAATATAAGAGATTTTACGACTTTTTATTGACAAAGTAACTGTAATTTCTTGGGCAATAGAGAAAAGCTGTTCTTTGATAACAAACAATAACATTTGTGTAACCGTGAAGTATTATTTATGTAAAAAAATCTATTTTACATTATTAATGCCAGTTTTCAAAACCAAAATAATAAACATTTAATTTTATAATAATAAATATAATGTATAATAAATATTTATTATTTATGCGTAAGCTTGATATTTTATTTATAATATTAGTCAACTTTAAATCCTATAAATATAAAATTTTAAATTAATAATTAATAATTTAAAGCAAAGTTTGCAGAAATCTTGGAGAATCAAATTTACTATTAAAATTATTAAAAAGTTGAAAAAGCTTAATATTTTATTTATAATATCAGCCGATGTTTTAATTAACCTTTTAAATCATTTAAATATGTAATTATAAATTAGTATCAAATAATTTTGAGTGAATGGTCAATGTTTAAAGAAATTAATTAATAAAAAGTCATTAAGGAACTAATTAAGAAATTAATTAAATTAATCAAGTAAATGTAAAATTCAGTAAGCACATGTAACAAATGCGATATTCAAATCGAGCATTTCCGCTTGGCCTAAATAAATTTCCTGTGATTATTCTCCGCCGTAGAATTGCAAATAAACATTCCTTCTGTTCCTAAACTTATCAGAAACGTTCCTCGCGCGAGCAAATAGATTCGTATATAATCTCATTTTACGCAATTTGTTGAAATTTTATTTTTTCAAATATTTAACAGATTTGCTTAATTTATATGTTACACTTGAGATATTTGAGTATCTCTTATCGCGATTTTATTGTTATTGATAAAGACACGATAGAGATGGATACATTTTTCAAAATTTAAATAAAAATACAATATTTTAATTTAAACTGCCGTGTAATATTTTTTTAAATATATTGCGGTTTTGAATGCCAAATTTCTATTTTGCATTGCATTGATACAGAAAATATATTATACATGTATAATACATATATGTGTACATACATACATACACATTGTATATGCAGTCTCTCTATTACATATGTAGAACGCATGCAGAGTAAACTAGTATCCTAAAGTGACGCGAATTACTGACAATTGCAGTGCATCTTACATTTTCAAAGTGACTTGACAAAACACAATTTTTTTTACAGAATTAAAATACATAAAAAAAATACGATGCTGAAACGGTCGATTTTACAAGAAAATCGCAAAAAAATAAAAACTGACTTTTCTTTGGTTCGTACAGCTGTCACAGGAGGTTAATGCATCTTTGATATATAAAAGTTTTATAGCTTGTATATATACAAAATGAGATTGTCCTGCACATCGGATTATGTGAACAAACAATATTGAATTTTTGAAATTACGATTGGATGCTCAGGAAAGAAAATTTTCACATTATTCTGCACATTTTATCGCGCGTATACGTAATATAGTTAGTATGACAAACCGGGTATCAATTGCGTTTAATAGTAAGATCTGGCGCTTGAATATGATAGACATGGACAAATGTATGCGTTTGAGCGAGACAGAGCATTATCGATGATTTTAGTTTGGAATTAAAAAGTCATATTATCAATCAAAATCGTTTTTTCGTAAGTTTAGTCTTCACTTTAGAATTTTTTTAACTATACAGTTGTACTATATGTATAAATTATATTTAGCTTTTGGAAGGAAAAGTTATATGAAAGAGAAAAACGAGCATAAGACGCATCACAATTTTTCTCTCTATTTTTATCATCTGTATGTGATTGTTAAATTAATCGACAATAATTATTTCTTGAACGACCGAATATTATCGTAGTCGTAATGTTGACGCAAATTAGGCGTATGTTAATTACTCGCTCAGATAGAACGTAAATTATTTATTATTCGTGAAATGGAAAAACATGCGTGCGCAAAGAGGAAAGATATAAAAGAACACAGATTATACGTTAGACATTGCGTTACGACGCTGATTTGCATTTGAAGCATGCTTCGGCATGCAATGCACGCTTAATGTGTGTTTGCACGGTAAAAATTTACGACTTTTGCTGGAAAATATGCGCGTTGTAGAGAGAAACTTACACGACCCTATTTTTGTTGCGTGTACCAGATCTTATCTTGTTGCACCGGGAGAATAGATCTAACAGATCTCATTGAGGAAAACGAGACGCTTCTTTTCTCTCGGGTGTCTTTTTGTCGTACTCCATCAGGCCGGAGATCGTACGAGTGAATTTGTTGAAATAAAATCCACGCACACCGTTGCGCTTCTTTCTGCAACAGAAAGTCCGTTTCGAATAATGTTATCGAACTCGCCGCGCTCGATTACGTCTTGCGCAAGACAATAAAGTTACTCTTTCACAATAGAAATATTGATTGTGAAAAGAAGAGTTCGCGAAGGCCATAATATTGGAGTGTGTCAATCAATAAGAGCGCATCTCTGTTATACGTCTTGTCTAACTTTCGTTGCAGAATATCCGCAATTTACTGTTTCATGCAGTGCAACTGCAGCAATTAACGCGATAATAAGCACAACTTGGCAGATGAGCGAAAGGAAAGAAAGAAAAATTCTCTAGGACAGTCTTGTGCAATACCGATTGTTATAAGAAACGAATTATAACTCTCGACAGCATGACTCACCGCGGTCATGACTATTGGCTTTCGAAAAAGGTGATCTCGAATCTGTGTCACAGAGAATGTTACATAGAGGATTTTAGGCACGCCTCTGTACGTTGCGTCAACGTCGCGTACGTTCCCCGCCGAGTCTGTGCCTTCAGTCTCAACCCGGCGTTTAGATTTTCTAATCAGCCCTCGCCAATCTAGCCGACCGAACGGCAGTGACAAATTAACGCCGGCATTGTTAACGATATCGCGGTGGATCGCCGCGGGAATTACTCGCGCAGACAATGCGCGGCTTGTCGCAAGCGCGCAAATGGCTCGTTGCTTTCGGAAAGGAGCGTATCTTGCCTATTTATGTGTCGCCTATTTATTATGCTCGCCTAGTATTTATACCGCATAGATGTACAAGGTACTACAGTGATTTTGCGACACGTAACCGATAACGCGACATTTATTGTCTGTAAATGGTGAAGGTCGATTCAGACATAAACGTGTCGTGCCGCATTCACGTCGTATAGTGATGCTTAATTGTTCACATATCTATATGTTAGCCGTACACAAAGTCTAACAATAAAATAAATCAATTGATGCACAAAAACACATACAATTGTTTTATTCAAGAAAATTATGATATTTATAATATGCAATTATATATGTATATTTTTGATAAATAATTACGCGTTTTCTTTACGTCAATTGAAGGAGAAAATTCATGAAGGAGAGCTATCGGAATAAGATTATTTATATCGAATACACATTTAAGCTAAAACGGTCACATACGTAATACGAGGTTATTCTGATGATAATGAAGTTTCTTGTGAAACTTTAATATCGTCAACATGCAGCAATTTTTCGTTTATCCAGAAAAATATATTTAACGAATAAAAATAATTACGTAAAAAGTATTTCAAGCCAATCTTTAATTGAATTAAAGATTGAACTTGCATTAAGGTAATTAACATCCGGAAAAGCTGTTTTACATAAGTCGCTAATCGGAAAACGTAATTCGGAAGCATGTCACGGCAGCCAATCAAAAGCATTAATGATATTGTTAAAAGACTTGTATCCCGGCCTTATCTATTTTTGCAAAATTCACTCATTGTGCCGCGAACTTGCAACATGTTGTAGTTTACCGAGTAATTGGACCATATTACGCGACTCATCTTTCACTTGCTTTTAACGGAAAAGTTAAACGCTCGTCGCTCGGTTTTCAGCCAATCTAAATTCCCCGACGACGAAACGTGTGCTTCATGAGAATTCATCGCATCCCTCGCGCCTCACCAACACGGAATACATCAATCCGACGATAGATTCGGAACGTTCATGGATGATCAGTGAATTTGAATACCCTTCTTGTATCTAACAAACCTGATATCCGCTTGTAGAAGAGATCTCTCGTCGCGAATACTAAAGAGAAATTACGCTGCAGTCTTTTTATATGCACAAGACAAAGAGAGCTCTACATTAAATTCGTATCTCAATAAAATAAAATAAAATAATTATAGATATTTATTACGAAGAGTCTTGCTAAGTAGATCATTTTACATGTAGGTAAACTTGGGCTTTCGAGAAATGTAGAAAAATTATTCATTTTATTTCATCTCGTTTCAAATGTTCGTCTAACATTACTGTCTAATGTTTCGCGCACGTGAGGACCTTGAGTCGTGATTTATTGTTTGGCTTTCTATTAGACACTTCTCTTTGAGAATCATTCACGAAGCGACCGAGTACCTAGCTGCACCGTTTAATTTCGTGTGCGATTCTCGATCTCTTTCTTGGCATCGTTCGTCAGACCGATCATCGTTTATCTATTTCTCGTTCTCGGCGTCGTCGTCAAACTGCGACGATGGTTCTCGCGCTTTTATACCTTCGAACTATTTTAACGTTTCTGGACGGATCGTAAAATGTATTCCCAGCTTTTCCGTGGAAAGTAGATTAGGTAAACGTGAACGGCCGCATTTTACTTCGTTTACAGCCAGTGAGATCCGTTTGGACACATTTTTCGAAAGATCAAAGATTTTAATCGGCGATGTAATTGGCAAAATCCAGCGTAAAAATTAAAAACATGAAAGTAGAAACTTCATTTATACATATAATAAATAAAAAAATGAGGATTATTGTCATTACACGGATAGAATGATTTAGTATTCTATGATAGTACTTTTCTAAAAATTCTTAATTTGACTACTTAATAAAATATATACTTACCTCGTCTATCGTCGTATTTTCCTGATCAAATCCGCGAGTGCACAGAAATTTTCAAAGAAAGCGTTCTTACTTCGGAATTATTCGCGCTTCGTCTCTAAGGCACGTTTTCCGCTTCATTTATGTTTTCAAAGGCAAGCAGGTGGTCGGAACGACTGTGAAATTCACAGAGACGGAATTCTCTTATCGCGCTCAGTTTTTATGAGTACCATGCAATTCGCCAGTCCCGAATTATCGTTTATTTCTCTCCTTTTTTTTTCTATATCCGAAGCGCGACGGAAATATTGGAATATTGACTGGTTTAAAAAAATTTCAGCTCTGAGAGACACATGAGAGGAATATGTATAACTCTAGGATCCGAAATATAAATCCACGATGTGCGATCGATTTGCAAGATTCGAGAGCCCGTGGTGGAACCGTGTCTTAGCCGCTGAGAACAACAGTCGACAGTGATCGCAGACGCGCGCGGCCAGACTGAGTCCTCTCAGTTTGTCCTCTTTCCCTCGCGCCTCGCACGTCGCCGGTCGTCGTCATCGTCAGCCCATTCACACTCCTCTGACGTTCTGAAATCTTTCTCAAGGCGCATGAGCGCGATCCACAAACGGCCGGTCTAGGAAGGGAGCCCCACGGGGTACGCTGCTCCGTTTTAGGCTGTAATGTACGGTGCCTTTTTTTGTGGCAAAGGAGTGCGCTCGCACGTGAACGGAATGATACGGCGAGTAAGACAGAGAGCCGTGATAACTTACCTTTCAGCTGCACCATGTCGACGTGAGTGTATTTCGCGCGATATGTTAGAGCGCAACTTCAGAGAAAGGAATGTACAAAGGAATGGCTAGTCAAAAATATAATTCATTTATACATTACATTTATATTTACAACTATGTATTTAAAATAGTAATTTAATTGTGTTTCAAAAGTATGAAAGAGTGAAATTATATTATGATTGCGTCTGCAAATAGTAAGCATTGTAGAGTATCGTAAGCATTTTATTGCATGTTTCTTTGTGTATACATATTTCAATGAATAACAATTATTTATCCTTGCAAACTATGTATTTTGTTGATATCTTGAAGATGTTGATATTGTGCATCTAATTTTAATATTTTGCGAATTTTTAAATATTTATTTTGCAGATTGTGCTCAAAATGAAAAAATTTTATGATAGATATAACGTTTAATTACCAAGTTAATAGATCTACTTTTGAAGGACAGTTGGGATGCAGATGATTTGCCACCAAGTAATAAAATAGTGTTGTCCTGCGGCGAATAAGAAACTTCTCGGTAAAGTCAGACCTCTTTGTCACCGAAATATAAACGACCGAATATACGTAACAGCAAAACCCAAGAACGATAGAATCGAGAGTAATGTGACGTCTCCGCTGAGTAGCTAATCCTAAAAAAAGCTATCTCTTGTTGCCACGAACGTATAACACTGCCGCACTCTCGAGACTGAATGGCATTCTTCATATTTCGTATCACGAAATCAACGATAGAAAATCCCAAACGCATACAAAACATCGCATAAAACGAAGCAATAAGCGAACCGGAAAAATTCACTTGTGCAAATTCACTACCGTCAGCAATTTTTATCAGGCTTTTGTATGTACATTGTACGTTGGATTATTTTTCGTGGATAAACTAGAAGCAGAATATAAATCATGTAAACAAACAGTCCAAATATTTGATTTTCTTTTCGTAAAATGTATCACAGTTGTCTGATTACTTTAACAGATCGCTCTACGTCAGTCTTCGATGAACAAAGTTTATCTTTGAACGTTGGATTTCGTACAAAAAACAAGATTGATGGAAAAATGAGAAGAATCGGTACAACGTTTCAACATGTATGTACCTATGTATGTTATAATTTTAGCAAATCTAAATTTTTGCCATAATATGTAGCACATATACGTATAACAGAAAGGGAAGAGAGGGAGAGGGAGAGGGAGAGGAAGAGGGAGAGGGAGAGAGAGAGAGAGAGAGAGAGAGAGAGAGAGAGGGAGAGAGAGTGCATCGCATATCAATTTCCGAAAGGGAGATTTTTCCCAGGCGGTGATGGATGTTCTGAAAAAAATGGAGAATTAATGTGCTGCCTTCAAGAAAGAGGAAGCAAAATTTCCGGCCATGGACTATTTATCATATTTTTGCGTCTTCAAAACTTCTCTGAATTAAGTTTTCCCGGTATAAGGACAGCTGATCGATATAAGGAAGAGAAATCGATACTTTTAAGAAAAGATCGATCTCTGCCAACGAACCGTCTTTTAAACATTAATAAACGGATTGCGTTTGAGCTGTCACTACGTGACTACTACACGTGTTCGTATTTCATATATAGCTTCGTTATTTTTATAACATTTTTCGCTCTCTCTTTCTCTTTTTCTCTCTCTCTTGCTCTCTGTCCTTGTTTTATAATAAAATTAATGTTCTTTAGCATCTATAATTATTTACGAGAGTGCGAATAAAGTACCATGAGAAAACCGCTCTTCCAGCTATCTCTCCGAACGCAACACTGTGACAGTTCATGCTAAAACGACCGAAACGAACCTGAAATCGCGTATGGATCATGATGCATTCTTCATGTCAGTGAGTCGACATGCACCGCCGTGATCGTGTAGTTCTCTTTTTCCCGCAACACCGGACGATTAAGCGTTACGCAAGTCCGTAAGAACGCGAGGAACTCGCACGTGACTTGCTTTGGAGAACGACATATGGAGATAAATCGGAAGGCTATGTTGCTCCTCGAATTCACTTCGAGGTTCCTTGAGATTGACATTTCTCCAAAGGAGAACAGTAATCGAGCGAGTAATCAACAAGTACAGTTAACAATAGTATTCACTCTCGTTTAAAAAGAAGAGAAAGAAAGAAGAAATTTTTATTGAAAAATTTAAAAAATTTAAGAAAATACCGTAACTAATATTTAAAAAAATTAATATAAAATGTGCTTTTCTTTTTAAGAAAGAGCTTAATTATATATCATAAAGTTTTCTTTTCTGATTTTCAATATTAATCCTATATTTAAAATTAAATTCAGATTAAAAGTCTCCGTTATTAGTATTTAGTTTTAAAATTTTTTTCTGCCATGTTCAATTATTAATATGAGAGAGAGAGAGAGAGAGAAACCCTCTTTTGTTTAATGAGACTCGTTTTTTGTTGAAAAGACATAAATTGTTCTCAAATAAAATAAATTACGTGAAAAAATAGTCTTTTTCTTAGGAAATGCAGTACACATTTTTTTCTTATTACATTGTACATAAGAATATTACGAGCACTAGACATTTTTATATGTTGTTTGCACGTCATTATGTCATATTGATTGCGTACAAGTTTTCTCCATTATAGCGAATACAATGCACTCTCTTTTTTTACAACGTAACGATTACGAAGTAGATATAACTCTATTTATTGAGGTTTCCGAAAGTGCGATTATAAATGTACGTGTGATTACCGTATTTAGTGTACATGCGGTAATGTTTGTTTCATACAAACCGCCGTGTTTTTCGATGACTCGTAATTACAGCGATTATCCGCATCGATCGCGTGCTTCATGATACTTCAGACACAAATTATGTGAGATTTTAAATATGTCCCCTTAAATAACGGCCCCTTAAATAACGACCAAATAAGAGTACGTGTCTACTGAACTTTGTTAACAGAAATATCCTTTCTCTCCACGCGATTACTTCAAATAAAGTGTCAATACTCACATGTACCAATTTTTTATTAAAAGAAGAAGTTCTAAATAAGTTTTAATAAAATTGTCTAATAGTTTTTGATATTATAGTAATTAATATTTTTTTCAAAGGAGATCGTCTTAATTTTGATAATATTAACGAAAATAATAAAGACAGATTATAATTGTCTCGTATAAAATATCTATAATCTCCATTACATTATAATTTTACATTGTAATATTGTAACAGTGCCTTTTTTATAGAGAAATAATATTTCAGAATATGTAGATCAAGAATTATATTTTATTTATACTTATCATGGCTATCGACTACTGGTAATTCATGTTTTTCTGCAAGCAAAAGGAAGAAAAAAAACAATGACACTGATCAGATCTTGAGGATTTGTCAATATAAAAAATGGCGGACACCAAAATTAGATTTTATTGTTATTTCTTATTAATTCTCATTTTTGTATATTATTATGTGTATATTATTAATATAAAAATATTTTAAGATATGTGTTGCAAATTAATCATATACGTCAGTAGTATGTACTTCACACAATTGAAAATTATAAACGAAAACTTTAAATATTAATTTCTGTATAAATATTGAGTGCATATAATATGGATATAGTATACATGTTATATAAAAATAATAGACAAATTTATTGTTTTTGTGTTAATAGCGTAAACAATAATACATTTGATAATGATGTTAAAAAATCTAATAAAACTTATAGTTTAATGTCAAGCTGTGTAAATAAATCTCTGAAAAAAATATATGGTGAATTATAAAAGGTCAAATATTAAATGTCATTATATATATAAAACGTCACGAAATATTCAAATTTATAATATTTTAATAAGCTAAGTATGTCTAATATTATTCATTTTAAATAATATGTGTATACGTAGATTACTGTTTTTATAAAAAAATGTCACCACTTTTACAAGAGCTACAAAAAATATATGGTGAATTATAAAAGGTCAAATATTAAATGTCATTATATATATAAAACGTCACGAAATATTCAAATTTATAATATTTTAATAAACAAAATACTGTAAAACATATTAAAATACAATTAAAAATAATTATTTTGTAAAAAAAATAAGTCAAATATTAAACATATTTTTATAATGCAAGTCACAATAATTAACTTTACAGTATCATTCAATCGCATTTTAAATGACTAGTATACTATCTACAATTTGTCGTCCAGTAAATTCCGAAGGCTAGATAAAGGTCCTTTATATTTAATAAATTGATTACAAATAATTGACGCTATAAAAACGAAGGTAATGAAAGTACATGTGGATTTGTCAGAAAACTATATATAGATTGATATATAAGCTTTAGATCCATTTTTTCCATTTTTTTTTAGAGTAAATATTTCAGGACAGGAAATGACGTTTTTTATGCCGTAGCGCATCAGAAGACTATATGTGAAGTAATCGTTATCTTTTAATCATCTTAGAAGCCTAAAAATATTACATCAATAAAAGTACGCGTTGCTATATCGAATAATTTCTTTTTATATGTTGTTATTTATATGAAATAATAGGGGTTTTCTCTTATTAATTACAGATAGATATAAATTACTTATAAAATAATTATTTTTTATTTGTGATTTTTACATGATCTGGACAACGTTATAATATACTTCAAAGTTACACGTATGTATGTACTTTGGCAGCAACATAGCGAATTCAAATTTGCACAAAAATTTTTATTTTAATAAAATCTTTTAAATGATCTATTATTCTCTTTTGTTATTAAAAGATTTTGAATTAACTCCTGCCCATCCCTTCTTTGAGTTGAAGAAAAAATTTTTTTATAAAAATTAAGATTATAATCTTTTAAAAATAAATAAATACATTACGACATTTTTTCACATTTTCAGTTACTTCGAAAATATAAAGGATGCAAATAGATTTTAATTCTATATAATTTTATTGAAAGAAATTTGTTAAATTATCATATCTTTTTTATTCAAAAATAGCCGCAAAAACTTGATATTTGACACATTTGCCATCTGGTGGTTCAGTATTCAGTTATCTCACAAAGAGAATAATGATTTCATAGAGGTGGAATTACTTTCTGCTTTAATGTTTTCTACTATTTTGTTTTTAACGTTTTGTGCTGAAATTAATATTGAAAAAGTAATGACGACTATACAATTTTTAAACATTAGTATCAGAGACATTCATATTTACAAGTTTCAGAGGAAGATGAACTATTGAGCTAACGAAGGTTAGAATAGCTAACCTATATAGCTGGAAAAAGATGATTTCTCTGACTTAAAAATTTATTATTTATAATTCAATTGTTACACGTAACTGTCAAGCATCATTGGCTCAGCTATAAATTCAACCAGTTGCAGAACCAGGTAACATTTTATAATATATACCATAAACTGCCATGAACTAGATATTTACGTTATGAACAATATTTATAATACAAGCCTATCACTTTTTTATACATATACATATATATATATATATATATATATATATATATACATATATATGTATATGTATAAAAGAAATGTTTATAAATCATATTTTATATTTTTGTTGATAGATCTTGTATTTCCAGATAATGACACAAGTCATATTACGCAGTTACGTCTTTAAGAATCGTCAGAAAAGTCTTCAAACTTTTCTCTTCTGAAGAAGAAAAAGGTAGATATAACATACTATTACTGTGCTTTTTTAAAAAGAGAAAACATTTTAAAAGTACAAAAAGGCAAAAGCTGATAATATTTTATAGATATTTTACATTTGTTAAGAGGCAATTCTCTTGCATCATGTACAGAGTATGAATATCAAATTAAGAATGGAAAAATATTAAAAAAATTGGGAATATTACTGTTACAGAATTAAACAAAAAATAGTCTCACAAATCTACAATATAAAAATAATGGCAGACATTAAAAATACAAGAATATAAAAGATCACAAAGAGTGGTAACACCAACAAAAGAATAAAATTTTGATGTAAGTATATAATGAATTAGCTATTTTATATTGTATATTTTTTTATTTTTAATAAATCATGTATTACATTTTATTAAAATATATTATATTATTGTGTTTCTTTAATAGAAAATATTAATATTTTTCTAGTATACTACAAATTATGGATAAATGGTTCAATAATGAATCTTAAGTAGCTCTAATACTCATGTTGGATAGCAGCAATTCGTCTCCACTATCTGAAGTTATTAATATTGGACATGAAGAAAAGATACACCTTCCAATAAATTTGAAACATTTTTCAAATGTAAGTATCACAGTTATTATACCCAATAAAATATAGTATAATTAAATAAATATAATTGATATTTAATTTAATTTAATTTATTTTATTTAAACAAGTATAATGAATATATTTTTCAAAAAGAATTAGTATTCTGTTTTACAATAAACATTGCACATCTTAATTACAGATACTAAGCAGTTTGTATCTTGAAAAAAATAATTATTGTGATAGAAGAAAATATTACGTAGCATTAGAAAATATATGAAGAAGCAATGGTTCAGCAAGATAGACTACTTAACATTCTTGAACAGATGATTATTGATAATATGATAGAGAAGAGAGAAGAAATCATATCTTTATGGTACGTAAATTACCAAAGCGCCTATTTTTTATAATACTACTTATAATATTTTTATATAATATTTCTACGAGTGTCTTATTTAAGACTGATACAAATTAAAATTTTTGTTAAACTATATATGTAGATTGACATAATAACCTTAGCATATCAAATTATATATTTTTTTTACACATTTATTATGAAGTTCTAAAATTTTATGTATTCAGGTTTATTAGTCTGTTTATATACTTATTAGGCTAAAACTTTATTTTTGTCTTATTACAATTTACATAGGTTTACAAAGGCAATAGCAAATTTTAAAAATAAAGATACTTTTAGAAAAATCAAGCACACAACTTTTTGTATTTTATTCCCTGTAGACTATTCAATATACGAAAGCTTGCATAATGCTACACCAACGGCGCACAATTCTAATAGTGATAGTATGCCTACCATTAAATCATAAAATTAGATCTGAAACAAAATACTCGTTATTAAACTATTATAAAAATTATTATTGATAATTTATTGTAAAGTATAGTCAAAGTTAATGTATACCTGTTATATTCACTTGAATCTAGAGTTGCAAAATGATAAGCTCAATAAAAGCTATTTATCTGCAGACTGCAGGTACCATTTAATTTCCGTCAATACAGCGAGAGAGTTTCTCTTTAATATTTTACAAAATTAATTCGAATGTTGAAGGCAGAATTCTAAATCATCAAAACAATACAAGTTAATTGGAAAAATATAAATTTTTATTTTTTCTAAGTTTTATTGGAAGCGTCTGTTTTTCAATTTAACATATTTATTAATATTGGGTAATGTTAGTTATTAAGTTGATAAATAACAACGTAAATATTTCTATGAAATTCCAGCTTTTATTCAGTTAAAATACATAGCAAAGTACTCAAGAAATTGACGTAACATCATAAGGTTCAGATGGATCTTGAAAAATCGAAATGAGTAAACATATAAGTTAAAAATCATGACATAGTAAATATGATGTATATCGTAATAATACCATTTATATTTGGTCGCAATTAGACCTTAATTAGATGTGACGATATGCTTTAATATAGAAATTTTTAGTTTTACAATTTAAATCTATTCTTGAAAATAATTTTAATATAATCTGTATTATGATATAAACACTAAATTACTATTAACACTCTGTAACACAAGAAAACATTTAAACGTCCATATCTCCCATAAGCTTACCTACTTACAACAAATACAATCTTTTCTTAGATTTAATTATGATATATCTTATTCTTAGAGTAATATATATAAATTTTTAATTGAATAGTGTACGATCACCATGACATCCTCAGGATGGCATCTAATTGGACATTGGAAATAGTGGCAATAATATAAAATTATTCAAAACACCATAATTTTAATATAGACTATCATTAGTGTCATTGTACACGTGTTTAATCGATAAATGTACATCATATACATACTTTTTTATTTTATTAACAAGTTTTAATTAAAAGTAATATTTATATTTATACATAATATCCTTGTGACACTCGTATTCATTCAGATTCAGTCATTCGTCAAAGTCTTTAAATTATTTAAATGTTATCTTTTTGGACAATACTTGACAATTCGTAAAAATTTGAAATGCAGTGGATTAAGGTAGACATAAGACAAATGTAAAGAGATAATGATGACGCAGTAATAATATCGTTATATATATTGCATATTGGACTCCCCCCCCCCCACCTTATGCATTCGATATTGTAGGTATGATTCATAAAGTATGAGAATCATTGGTAGAATTTGCGCTTTAATAACTATGCATATTTTCATACTTGATTACGCATTCCGTTTCGATTTGACTGTGAGCTTAATCAGCCAAAATCGCAGACGATTGAATGTAACTGTACATTGCTCAGTCTCTGCGATCATTTAACAAGTGCATTTCTGGCGAGTCACAGTACTTGCAAGCACAATGCTATGAGGATGAGCACATTTCAAGGAATTTCGAGAATTTCTAGTGTTGTATCATGATGAAGGCGATACAATTCCTTAAGAAAGGATGTTGACTTGTGAAACCGGCTCGCAAATTAGAAAATACCGACATCAAAATATGGCGTGTAAATGTATGTAATTGTATGTCAGAAATTATTTTTTAGTTTAATCATAATTAAACAAATATTATAAATCATAAATATTCGCAACAATAAACGTTATGTAATTATATGTAAAAATCAAGCTTTCGAGAAAGACTTTATCTCTAAATATCTTTTCAGACATTAAATTATATTAAGGTATAAATCAATTGTATAGTTTATTTGTATCACATATATAATATGTATTATATATTATTATATATATATTTTAAATATTTTATATATATAAATTTTATATATATATATATATATATGTGCTCATATATATTCGATTTTGCGTATTTTAACGGATGAACACATCTCGTAGCATTTATGGGATTGCTGCGAATAGATTTATTGACTCTTTCCCACGTAGAATGCGATTTTGCAGGTATTGAACGAACGTCGTTTGAATTCGACGAGAGTACTTGGTCGTACGTGAAGCGGGTTGCGGAGACGAGATCCGAGAGTAAAATTCGTTCGATGTCGCGTTCAGACGCATAAATCCGGCGCTCATCGCGTAAAACTTTTCAACACGACGACGTACGGCGCGGCAAGTCTTACTCGCAACTTGCGGGACAACTTACGTTTATCTTGGCATCGTGCCGCGGACTCTCTCATATATATGAAACCGTAACGTAATGAAACCGCGGAGACTGGACGTGCGCATCTGAAGAATCGCATGATATGCGCGTACACGTGCGAACAAAGTGAATATATAATGTTCGTTGTACGCGGGTAGGTACGTACGTTATTGCAAAGATTTCATCCGATTTCCTAGAAGGATAGAGTGAATTTATTCCCGTTGGCAGCACAATACTGGCTCGGGCGTGACGGCGACATTAAGTGATTAGAGTGTCGTAGAAATTTACACGGATGATTAGACGTTGACGCGCAATTTAATCTACTTGATGGCCGTACATTGTCTCCGAAAGTTGCAAAAATACCGAGTACGCCGTTGTACAAATCATATCGATTGGCGCTGTAACGCAAACATTTTTTTTTCCGCACGGAACACGCGTTCTTGCGATGTATTGCTAGTATAATTGAAATTTTTAATTACCGTTTTAATTACTTTCTATCCTTCCTAATAATTAGGCAGTCAATTTTCCAGCAAATATGTAAATGTAAATTTGGCCCAGCCAGTGTAATTATGCTGATGGGCTACGTGTAACCCTTTACAACTAGCGCATTGGTAATGAGATTCAAGCGGTGTCTGTATCATCTAATTAGAATTGGTATTTAATGAAGATCTTCCACATACAAAGGCAATTTTATTATTAACTTCTGGTGAATTTGTAATGAATTAATTGATAATATTTCATTGTTTCTATAATCTGATAATTACCGATTAATTATTGGTACCTAATTGTAATACACATGTAATCGCATTTCTCTCCATAACGAGTTTTATATTTAACTAAAAAAAAAATTGTATAAAATAATTCACTATTATCTTTCTCAATCCATAAAAGTCGTAAACTTCATGAGAGAACTTTGTTCCAACATATTTCTTTTCCTACGTGTCAGTTTGCCCCAGATTTGTCTTCTTTCTATCGTTCTTTTTGCCCTTGAGCGACTGTCGGGGTTTCATTAGGATCGTCCGGTGATGAACGTCCACTGGAAATCAATCGCTTTTACACAAATGAAACGAACGGTTTACATCACGTTCCACCGGACAAAAGTACTACTGAATGTCAATAGTGAATGTCTAATCATGACAACAATCTAGCTATAAAGCTACCTTCCGCGTTAAAAATAGATAACTTTAAATCTTTTATATCGTCCCATTTATTTAATAAGCATATTTTATGTGATAATATAATTAATTTAGTTTACATATTTTACACAATGATATCATTAATTTTAATTGGTATATTTTAAACGACAATACAGTTCATTTAATTTAATTTAATATTAAATTAATATTTCATATTTGTTACTCGGCCGATTTTTTTTACAAAACGATATTTCTTCTATATGCAATATTTAGATTCGATTATAATTTTTAGCAGAAATATATTTATTGGAAATTAATTCAAGTGATGACTATCAATAACGATGATCGCACGGTTAATGATTTTGACGGAGCACGCAGTTCCGAAGTCCAAATCCTGGATATCCGAAGCAATTAACAGTTTGCACAAATTAACAGTTACACAATTAGAATACCGAATATCGTCGTCATGTAACTACAGTATATATATATATATATATATATCTATACATAGTGCAAATATTATAATATTTGCACTGATGTGAAACAAAAGCGAAATATTATAGAAATAATTGAATTGCTTTCTTCTTAAATCTTTAAATATTACATATGAATTAAAGTTTTTTCGATATGTACACAGTTCAGTTTTCATAGAAATAATTTTAAAAAAGATCGAGAAAATGACGCGCGTTTACTTTGAAAGAATAATGATTTCGGATAGTATTTAATAAATCAGTGGCTCTTGACTTTTCCGTTACGGACAGAGGTAGGTACTTATACAACTAACAGCGCTAAACAACGTTTTGTACAAAAATACGCTTTATATACAGAAAATTTATGGGCTTAAAAAGAGAGATCCATATTTGCGCAACACCTAAAAAGTACAATAAAATTAATTAACTCGGAGAAATACAAGGTAAAGCCTTGTATTTTTCCGAGTTAATTAATTTTATTAAATTGAAGAGCTTCCTGCAACAATAAGGCAATAGGCTCTGATCTACACTTTATAGAAACGGAGAAAATAAATACTAAAGTTCATTACTTTAACTTTAGAATTCATTTTTTCCACCATTATAAAATGTGAATTAGCTGTTGCAGCAAGCCTTTCAATTACCTTGCGATAAAATATTCACAATTAACTGCTGTATATGTTTATTAATTCTTGAGAGAAAATACATATCTTATGATCTTGGACCTTAAGAACGAATACTGGCGGATCCTCTTGATGCCCACCGTGAATAAATTTCATTTGTGATGTTTGTCCAGCGGCGGTTGCGAAATCCTCGATACCGCATTGATATGAAAGAATACCTGGTTGAACCGCTGAAGAATTTGTCTTCCAGAAACCACGCTTGACCTCTACTCTCATCTTCGCCTGCCCGGACTTCTCCTGGCGATTCGTTCTGCAAACAAATACCAGCACCGCGGAAATGG